TGTAACTTACCCATTGTGGGACAATTGTATTTTTCCAAATCTTGTGCATATTTTGTTATATATTTTGGAAACTAATAGAATATCAATGTGTGTTGTGCAGCTCATCTGATAAAAGTGTGAAAGTGTGGGACGCCAGCTCCAGAGCCTGTATCAACACTTTCTTTGACCATCAAGACCAGGTATGACAGAATTTAGGTCCAACCATATTACTACACACATTTTACTTTGTTATAAAGAGCACATATTGTGCTTTTGCTGTAGTTAGAATATATGATAATAATTCTGTGGATTATTATGTTATAATTTGGACATTTTAAATGTCAATATTCATCTAAAGCGACTTCACAAACATTGTCACAAAGGACTGTACAGCTGTTGTCCCCTCTGATGGATAGCTGCAGATTTTTTTCATTTATACCAAAATTAGTATGTGTGCTGCCAAAGTTTACACATATCACAGATATAGAAAATAATATTGGAAAATTAAGTACAGAGCAGTGGTGAAAATGGGGGTAAGATCAGAGTAATGAATACAGGAGAATACAGAGTTCTCAAACATACGTGAATCACTCTAAATACAACTTCAAGTGGGTAAATGAGAAGGAAACAATTAGAACATGGCAAAAGCTCTGAAAAGTCCATTTTGCACAATCAATCTTCTTTAATTGAATAAATGTTGCTTCTTCAGGTGTGGAGTGTGAAGTACAACAGTACAGGCTCAAAGATCATCTCTGCAGGAGACGACCGCTCCATCCACATCTACGACTGCCCCATGTGACACAGGCGGTTCAGCAAATGCCACCAAACTAGAGGCTTTTCAGAGAGGAAGCTGCTTATGTTTGAAGACAGAGCCTGTACTTGTATCGGGTTGTTTTGCACTGGCCACAATTGGTCAAATAAAGGTTTTCTTTTTGTACATTTTGCAGTTTTATCATTTTTAATAGAATGTCCTTTAGACCAGGGGTCTCCAACCTGTAGCTCGGGAGCTACCAGTATCTCTCCACCCTCTTCCAAGTAGCTCGCCAAGGGATTTCTGAATTCTTTGTTTTGTGGAAAATAATTAAAATTTTATTAATTACCACTGTAAATGTATAATTTTGATGCCTAACTTGGTGCATTGATAAATAGATAATGGTTTATGTTTTATTAAGCGTTTAACTGTTCCCCATCTAAGGCTCGCTGTGGCTCTTATATTTACTCTGAAACTGGTAGCTCTCTGACATTAGGTTTCATAAAGGTAGCTCACTGGAGAAAAAAGGTTGGAGACTCTTGCATAAAATCATTCCAGAGCTCTGTCTGTGTCATAGTCTGTGGTCTGTGTCAATAATCTCCAAGTGTGAGCTGAGCTTCTCTCTACTGCAGTACCACAGACGACCAGTGGATGGCAGCAAAATGCCACTGTAGAAAAGGCCCCCTTGTGGTCTTGCCTCCACTCCAAGTCCTCTGCCAGATGCAAAGCAGTTCTCCACGTTCAAAGACCTCCTGGCTGCTACTGTTCGAGTTCAACACGGGGCGGCCTCAGGCAGTGTCACAGCCAACGACTATCACCAAGCTCAATTGTCACTTCTCCGTCAGGTGCAACTTGACTGTTTTCCCATTGATTATGCCCAGTTGCAATCAGGAAAGCCAGTAGCTAAGAGCAGCCGTCTTCTCATGCTGGCACCAGAGTTTGATCTACGCCACAGCAGTCAGCTGGAACCAGACGCTGTTCACCTGGACTCTCGTCCAATCAGAAGACGCCTTGGACTCTTCAATAATGGTAGTGACTATTTTTGCAACCACAGCTGCTGGTAATTTACTGTATCAGTGTATGCAGTAAAATACTGTAAACTGATACAGTTCTACTGTAATAAATTTTACAGAAAGTACTGTTTTTCACAGTAGAATACAGTAAATGGTTTTACATTACTGATGATGTTTTAACAGGAAATAACCATAAAATAGGGTAAGACATTATGTGAGATAGATAGTAATTCACTGTAAAAGCAGCAGTTTTAAACTGTGAATTCAACAGTTATAACATCAGGCCAAATACGATGTTAGTTATTTTCAGTAATTCATCTTTAAAGGAAATTTTTTTAACTGTTATTTTTACAGTTATAAATATACCTTACCGTGAAGCCATATACAATGTCACTGTATTTTTTACCGTGAAAAAATGGCAACCACAGCTGCCAGTTTTTCACCGTAAATTTGACAAGATTTTGTTTACAGTGTATGAATGAATATTATATTATTTATAAATATACATATTAAATGTACTTCTCTAAATTATATTTGAATTATACCCAACTGTGATGTTTGGAAAAATTTAAAACAGCCCCTAAAATAGTGAAAAAGTAGGCTATCCTATAGGCTAATTAAAGTATTCATAAATTACATAATGCAAAAATAAACTGGATAATAATCATGATATTGCATAATAAACAATGAATTAGATTTAGCCTGATTCTCAGTATCGGCAAGTACACAAAATGAATGAAGTTCTCATACTCAATTTAGAAAAACAGTATCGGTGCATGACCTGTGCATCGGTAAATATTCTAAACCTAGAAAACGTTCTCAAAATTATTCCGATGTTGAGCAAAATAACGAAAAGTATCCAGTATCTTAATATTAAAAAGCAGATTACACTCTTCACTCCACACTTTCTCCTTCCTGCTATTAATCATAAGAACTAAAAAGTAGTTTGCGCCAATTTTAGAAGTAAAAATAATTCATTTCAATTCGGAACACTAAATACAGATTTACAGCTACAAATCTCTAATCGTATCTCTAAAATTAGATATTGTCACAACTAGGGCTAAAATTTAGGGGAAAAAAAATCTTCGTCGACTAAAGATAAACCATGTGCATGAATTTATTTTATTTTAATTTATTCATTATTAACCTTTATTTAACCAGGTGAAAACCCATTGAGATCGAAATCTCTTTTTAAGGGTGATTTGGACCGGAGTGAAACTGCTGCACACGTCATGAAAAACATTTACACATTTGCACTAAAATACAAATCGTATAAAATGACTTTAAAAGCACTACTTAAAGAAACCAGCTCATAAAGCCTTAGTTCAGACTGAAAGGTATTCCAAATTGTGAACGTGACAGCACTGGACACTGGACAGCCTCTTCAAGTCATTCGACAATTGATAATCTTGTGCTCCCCCTAGTGGCAAAAACGAACAAAACACATCTTATTTTATACAGACAGAACAAATACATTGTTTACAAAGCTCACACCTAAGATTCAGAAGTCTTTTATTCCATTTAAAAGTCCACGTGTTCAATGTTCAACACATGAAACTGTACATTTATAGTTCATTAACTTACATTTAGATAAAGAGCACCTCTAAAAGTTTATGTACAATATCTTTAAAGGTGCATTGTGGAACTTTTCAGATGTAGATGCAGATGTTCTACCACCTGCTTGTCTCCATGGAATTTTTGCTTTGCCTAGAATGTCCCACAGTTTGGCATTAAACTTGAAAGATAACACCAGTTAGCCAAGTGACAGGTCAGATCTGTGAGGAGGCGACCCTGCTCTCAGTAAGAATGCATGTTTTCAAAAATACCTGTAACTGAATAAATGCATAATATATTCATCTAATGCAATGCTGAGGAACATTCAGGCAAAGCAACATCATCTCCATGGAGGTCTTTCTAGCAGGTGGCAGGGACCTCCACATCAGAAGTTACGCAGTGAACCTTGACTTAGCTGGGACAGTTGTGCTTGTAAAACCAGGTGTGTTCCATTTCAAACAGAAATGGGAGTTATGGCAGTTCCGGGTTACGTTGAAGATCCTAGTTACATGAAATACAAAGCACTGTGTTCAGATGTTGTATTGGCAGTGTAGAGATTCTTGAGTAGTGAGAAATATTGTAATAATAAGACGGAGTAATTCCTCATTTGTCCAGAAGTGGCACAGTAAAGAGAAGGAACACAGTGTTTACAATCAAGATGTTTCAGCTCCCATCCAGAAGCCATTCTTTACATATTAAATAGTACCACATATGTAATAATCTACATCTTAAAAGTGCACTATGTAACTTTTTGGTTAGGGGTCCGTCACCTGCTGAGCACATGCGTCCTGTGCTCAGGTCTCTACACTGGCTTCCTGTGGCTCAGAGACTTTAAAGAGGCTCTGCTTGTACAAGTCTCTCCACGGCCGAGCACCAAAGTCCATCTGTGACATGTTAGTGCCATTTGAACCATCTCACACTCTGAGGAGCTGAGGGACTGGCCTCCTGCTGGTGCCCACAGTCACAACTAAACACGGGGAGTCAGAGTTTCAGTTTCATAAAGCTAAATCCAAGCTTTGTTTAGCTGTGTATAACTGAAAGGTTTTCATTCCGCACTTTTCTCTCTCATTTAATGTCTTTCTCTTTTTAATTTCATGACGATTATTTATGTTTTGATTGGTTTGTATTGTGATTTTATTGTCTTTCTTAATCTGTAAAGCACTTTGAATTACTTACAAATAAACTCGCATTACTTTGTTTCTATGCATGTCATTGCTCTGCCTGGAATGTTCCACAGTATGACATTAAACAGCTCTAATATACATTTACTCAAGGTGGTTTTATTGCTTAAAAATACCTACAAAAACATGAATTTGACTGTGCGTGGGGTTGCCTCTCCACAGATCTGACCTGTAACTTGATCTGGTTTGGTCTCCATGAAGATAGAAAGATTTAATGTCATTCTGTGAAACATTCCAGACAAAGCAATAACATTTCCATAGAGAAACGTATATATCGACAGATGCTCCACAAGAAAAGTTACAAAATGCACCTTTAAATGCTGCTAGGCCTGTCACGATAACACATTTTGAAGCGCGATGCATTGCTGAAGGAAATAGAGATGCATATAAATGACAATACTGAAACTAATCTATGCCACATGACACAAAAACTATTCTAAATGTAAAATATTGTTAAAAAATCATGAGCTGCTGTAATAAATAAACTCATAATAAAAGACTTAAGTACTTAATTTGCATCTGTAATGAGTCACTTAAGTGCTTTATTTAACCTTTTATGGCTTAAATCATATCGTATAGTCAAAGGCTCTATTCACGCTTACTGGAAAACATTTGGAAACATGCGGATGACGACTTCCGATGTAGTTCACTGGGCATGTGATAAAACCGTGGATTCAGCAGCAACAGGACTAGACAAATGATAATACACAAATGAATATGCAGTTTATAAAAGTAAAAAAGAATACACTGACATCTAGATGAAGAAAGCTGGGCCATTTTCTAATTTTTTCAGATTTTTTCAGTTACTAACGCCAGTAGAGCCCAAAGGAAGTTGTCATCCGCATGTTTTGTTCCAAACGTCTTCCGATTTTGTTACGTAAGGGTGAATAGAGCCCATAACCAAAAAAATGCCAGTAGTGGAAAGAAAATATATAGTCCCAGCTGTCATACTGTATATCGAACCATAAGTCGATACAGTAATTATCGTGACAGGCCTAAATAAAAGTATAATCTCCCCATAATGGAGAATCTCTGGTTGAAATAATATACTTTTTGCAGTTTTGTAGGCAGGGTTTTTGAAGCTTATATTTCAAAGGCTAGTGGAGCAGTGGAATTAGCTGCTCATGTGAAATTGAATCCTGCACAAAAACTGATACAATGGACACTTTGGCACATTAAAAGTCACAGTCTCCATTATTGAAATTTCACACAAAAAATTCCCAAAAGCTGGTACAAGTAACATTACAATAAGTGAGAAACTTCGAAGCATTTCTTTTGAGAAATAAACATAATTTATCATTGAGCTTAAAGCTGCACTATGCAACTTCTGCAAATTGCTTTACCTGAAATGTTCCACTGTATGGCATTAAAATGATCTCACATTTTCCCACCAATTATAGCTGTCATTATTATTATTAAAAAAACAACAACAAAACAACAAAAGCATTTTTACTGTGAGATCCGTAACATAGCCTGGTAATGCCACTTGCTTGTCTCCATGGAAATAGACAGGTTAAACACCATACTGTGCAGCATTCCAAGCAAAACAATCGCATCTCCATGGAAATAAGCCAGAAAAGTTACATAGTGCACCTTTTAAGTGCTATTTAACATCACATACCTGCTTTTAGCGCCCCAACTTTTTACAATTCCAGCCAGTGACCTTATTGTATTTAGGTTGTAGGTAGCACAAACGTTTTTATGGAATGATTTTTAAAAAATATAATCTCAAGTGCAAAAGAAGGCAATAATTTGGCATTCAACATAATTACAGATTCAATTTTTACAATAAAAAAAACTTTGAGCACTTGATTTGGGTGCAGTCAATAGATGCTTGTTCTAGTTTAGGTCAGCCTAGAGGAGAAACTTATAATTCATAGATTGTGTTCTAGAATTTGATAATGTCATGATTTCAGATGGAGGGCAAGGATCTTGGTGTGCGCATTTTGTCGTGCATTTACAGGATTTTTCAGTTTTAAACAATTTGTGGTGTGTGGCGGCCTTTACAGAGCAATTTCCACCTTAGAATTCTCACCTTTCCTCCACTGAGAATTATTGATCAAGACTATATGCTTTTCACAGCCTACATTTAAAGTGCCTATGACAGGTTAAACTGCGAATTTTCCTTAAATACATTTAAGATCATTATATAAGATGATCCTAAAAATGTTATAATTTTAATTTTACTTGATTGGAAATCTAGACATCACACTGCAATACAGCCGTATTGTGCACTGGGCCATAACTCCTCTAATGCACACAAAAATTATTATCTGACAAATAAAAATAGAAGAAATATATTTTGTTGAAATTCTGTTTAAAGTATCAGAAAAAATTTGTCTCTCATGTAAATTATGCCAAGATTTTGGATAGAATTCTCCCAGTGTGATGCCATCAGTGTGTTAGAATTCTCTACTTCCTACATATTTTTTAACTTTTCTTCAAAAATTGCTTCTAAACTTGCATAAAACTGTAATTTATATATTTTAAAACAGGTATTATTCCACCACAACAGGAATTATTCCACCAAATTAAGTCAAAAACAGAAAATCATGAAAACCTGCCAGATGCACTTTAACACTGGTCAAAATGGGTTTATCTGAGTTTACATAGAAATATATAAGTATAATGTTCAATTTAAATTGATTTCATGGCAAAGTAATTTTTCTTCTTAGGACTTAGCAAAATAAAAAGTTAAGATTTATTTCATGTGCTTTAATATTAAAATTAAATTTGAGGTACCTGATTATAATTTGTTTGATCAACCCATAAATATTATATTAAGCAGCACTTTGTGTGAGACCGCTACCAACTTAAGGATAAAACTCTGGCCACCATCTTGACTCTCATCTAATAAATACAGCCTTGGGGACCACCTGGAGGAGTATCTGATCCCAGTTCATGTCTCTCTTTGTTAAAGGAACTGTATGTACGATTTTAATTTGATTTCCATAAACTTGACCTATCCGTGTCCCCATTTATGAGGTAGACGTGTTCACAGCAGTATAGCTTTTACTGATTACTGATGGCTGAATTCTAATGCAAAAAATTACAAAAAACAATGATGAACATGATGGCCAAGTTGTTCGTGTTATAATTTGGTGTTTTCGTGCTCAACATGAGTATCAAATCAGAAGTCTTATTTGGGTTGCTAGTTACAATGTTGCAATCCAGTTGTTTTAAACCTAAAAAGGACTCTCCCCAGCACTTGCAGACAATCATGAATCAGTGCTAGTGAAGCCTCTGCAGCTCAGGAAGTGAATTCTGGAGAAAAACTTGTGTGTGACCTTTATTTGCTGGTTTAGGCAGTGGCAACCCAGGTTCATTCTTGATTGTAGTGACCTTTTTTTTTTTTAAACTGTAAGAACACAAGCTACATACAGTTCCTTTAAAATGACAAATGATGAAAGCACTATTGACAATATACACAATATATTTGTGGTCACAGTTACTTGTTCTGTTCTCTGCTTATTGGCCACTGTATGGAACCACTAATCCATCACACTCCAGTCTATGAAGAGGCCTTTTACTGTAGGCAAATTGGTGAAGACTCTTGCTCAAGGACACAAGAGCAGTATGCATTGGCCAGACGTGGGAATCAAACCAACAATTTTCAGCTTAGTGGTTGAACTCTTGCTCTTGTTACCCCATTGCAGATCCTGTGTTCAGTATTTCACTTTGACTTTTTAGTCACCAGTGTCTCAAGTGGGTGAGCTCTGCTTTCAAACTCAGTCTCTTGAGGGTCTCGTATCCCACGACGATGAGGACAGAGGTGGGGGTGGAGGAGATGACCCGCGCTGAGAGTCCTTTGGTCAAACCCCACACGCCCTCCTCCGCCATCAGCTGCTTAAAAGTGCCAATGACTGAAGACCGGCCCTCCACCTGCAGCAACACACAACAGGTCAGTTGGAAATTTAAAAGGCCCCGATTACTCTATTCTCAGATTTTTCTATGTTATAATGTCGTTTCCTTATCACAGACAGACCTGGAGCTGTGTTTTGTTTCATTCACACATGTTCAACACACAGACTCTGCGTATTTAGGCTGAGTTCTTCTCTCAAACAGAAAACACTTCGTCCCACCTTATAGTGGTAATACAGGAAGTGCTCTGCTGTGTTTTTAAATTCCATACACCTTCACTAGAAACATTTGGCTGATTTCAGCCCTGGAATTTCTCTATTAAACCAAAGGTAATAGGTAGCTGTTAACCCAAAACTACTGCTTCATGACATCACAAGGTGGAACAGTGGTTCAAAGTTATTCCTCACTCACCTTATGCATTCTGAACATCCTAATTATTCACCGTAATTAGTGCTGTTCCAAAATTCCCAGAGACCAGAGCAGAGCATTGCCGTAATGGAAAAGTTAGCATCAAATTGCATGCTAATGTGTAAGCAATATCAAAATGAGCTTACAGCCTAACACTCAGTGATAGATTCCCCAAGCCCAAGTGAACTGTCTGTATATTAAAGACAGTTCGTCTGTGCACCCATGTTTTGTAAAGTGTTCTAAAGTCTGTATAGTGCAGATATCTACTGTGAATATACCTGGACTCTGGCTCGAACCACGTCCATGGGGTTGGTGATGGTGGAGGCAGTGGCCGCAGCCATTGGTCCCGCGATCGCCTGCAGGAGCAGATGAGGACAGCTAGAGGGCGCTAGGTTGGACAGTTGCTCTGTGGATGCAAAAATCACACACACAAAGAGTGTAAAAGACAAGACAACAGCTATCAACACCTCTTTAAATACAGCACATATATCACAGATGTTAAAGCTGGACTATGCAACTTTTCTGGAGGAGGCTCTGCCACCTGTCTCTCTGTTTGGAGATGATGCTGCTTTGCTGGAATACTCAACTGTATGGAATTAAAATGATCCTTCTACATAAAGCAAATAAGGCAGAGTTACAGATCAGATCTGTGCAGCAATCTGTTTTGCCGTTTTGAAAGAAAAAATAATTTGCTTACAATTTGCAATGTCTAACATTTCTAGTGGAGGGTCTGGCACCTGCTTGTCTCCATGGAAATGGGGGATTTATTTATTTATATAGTATTTTTGAGAAATAAAAACACCCACAATGAAGAAATGCTAGACGAAGATATTTAATGTCATACCATGGAATATTCCAGGCAAAACAATTCAATTTCCATGGAGACAAGTAGGTAGCAGACCCTGTACCAGAAAAGTAGCATGGTGCACCTTTAATGTTCAGTTCAAATTAACCTTGGCTATAAATGTTGTAGTCTGTTACATGTTTGTTTAATGTACATACTTGTCCTTATCAAATAAGTAAATGCTACATTTAGTAAGATTTGCCGATAATGGCTGATTTTATTTGTATTTGCTCCCAGTTTGTGGATTTATTTACAATTGTGTCCTCTGTATTTGACCAAAACGGCACACCCCAGTGTGTATATGTAAATGGACATATCTATAGGAAATTAGGTCTGGTCAACTCCAGGGAATAAAGGAATAGGTAGTTCATTCACCTGCATAAAAATGATAAAAAGGCCACCAGAGGGCGCTGTTGGGTATGTATGTGAGGAGAGACGCCACATAGCCCCTGTAAAACCCTCTGAACCCATCCTCGGCGAATATCTGCACTGTGATGTCCCGCGTCTGCCCAAAAGTCAGCCTCCTCTTGGTCGCCGCCAGCATCATTTTGGGTTTGACCTTAAATCGACTCAAGTGCTCCCCCTGGCCCTGCATCATGAGATGCTGGGACACAATGTCTATGGGTATGGTTATGGTTTGAGCCACTAAAGAAGCAGCTCCCCCAGCGAAGATGGACTTCACCGTGTTGTCTTGGGAGTAGTTAGAGACGTATTTCCTCACGAGTTCGTACGTTGTGATGTACGCTTGCCCAGAGACGAGAGTGAAGGTGTTGACCATGAACCCGCGATACAGACCACAGATGCCTTCACTTTTTAATATTTTACAAAACGCGTCAAACGTTCCATTGTAGAGGGACTTTCCTTTCTGGACTTGTAAGCGAGTTCGGATCAGGCTGAAAGGGTAGACTGTGGCCCGCGTGGTTAAAGTCATGAACACGCCCAGAGAGTAGAATTTCCTCTTGTCCAAGTCCTCCCATTCTATGATGGTGATGGCGCCTTTCTGCTGCATTGTGCTCTAACAAAGCAGCGCTATGCTCCTTATAATGTTACATTCAAATCTGGGTTCATTGGTGGTGGCGAATCTCCAGCTTCCATTGTACCTGGAATAAAAAAAAAGAACAATTAGGGATCTCAAATCCACGTCATGAAACTTTTTAACAGCAAAAAAAAAAAAAAAGAGGACTAACATGAAAGCATGTTTCATCTTTTTTGGTTGTGCTTATAATATAATATAAAAAATTGTAAGAGGCTGGTATCAAATAAGGCATAATTATAAATGTATATGCACAAGTAAAAATACAAATATAATAATACAAAATATATCTGGGCTTTACACAAGAGGCTGCAAGAAGAAACTGTGCAAAGATGAAGTAATTATTGACAGGATATAGGGCTATCTGTTGCATAAAGGTGAGTTGTTGTGTAGTTGTAGGGAGTAGCACCATATTTTTCGGACTATAAGTCGCACTTTTTTTCATGGTTTGGATGGTCCTGTGATTTACACTCTGGTGCGACTTATGGTTTTTTCTTCTTCATTACACATTTTTTGGCTGGTGTGACTTATACTCCGGAGCGACTAATAGTCCGAAAAATACGTTATGTGTTACATAAGGGTGAGTTGTTGTGCAGATGTAGGGAGTATTATCTGTTTCATAAGGGTGAGCTGTAGTGATGAATGTAGTCCTGTCACTGTTTGAGTGGAGCTGTAGGTGCTTGTTGGAGAATGAGCTCCTCTGTCCCTCACCAGTCTGGTGCAGCGAGTGAGCAATAATTA